CAGCTCCCGTAGCCTGACCGCACCTGTGTGACCGTGTGAAGGTGGCAGAGTGGTTGGCTGAGGGTGTGTTTTGAACCGGCCTTTGGCTTTTGTTCGAGACGCCCTGAAGGTATGAGTTGTTAGCTCAGAGCACAGGCCTGGCTTGTAATTGCAGTAGGGAGGTAATTGAGGCCGTCTGCGGCGGTGAGCAGCAAAGGTATTCTGGCCAGATTCGAGTGTAGCTGATTTAGTGTTCGTTCTGCTTTCCTCTAGAATGGAAGGAAATAACAATGATTCTGTGGTCTGCTCCCCTGTGGGTTAGGAAATGCGGCGGCTAAAAATCCGAGCAGAACGCGGAAAAGCAGAATGGTTGGCAGGTCGCGGTGAGGTGCTCTGAGGAAAGCAGATGGTTCTCTTACGGCATGAGGCAACGAAACCTCCTGCCAATGTTCGATATTTTCATGTTACTTAAATAGGCGGCAGTAACTTGTGATTTAGAAAAAGGAAGTATCAAAGAGCTTTTATTTAACATTGAATACCTAGTGAAATACTCCAGAGGTTTGCTGATGGAACAAATATAGGAGGACTGGCATAGTACCCAGCAAAGGAATGACCTTGAGCTTGAGTAATGGAAGAGAATGTAATTCAGTGACAAAATGTGGGGTCATGCACTCCAGGTCAAACAGCTCTTGCTTGCAAGATAAAACTCGCTAGTTGGAGGAATCTCAAATAATGTGCAATGGCTGTTCCCCTGTCCCTCTTGCAGAATTGCACTTTGAGACCTGCACCTGCACTCGTGGGTACAGGACTATCGGTGTCCTGCTGCCAGGCTACTTCAGTGCGTCCTACAAATACTCACTTGTCCTGGACACCTTAATTTATAAGAATTTCTCCAGTGTACTGCAGTTGAAGACTTAGCCCTTGGATGAACATGGGGATAAGGAGCTTTGTTGTATAAGGCAGTTACAAACACTGAACATGCTGGCAGCTCTCGGAATGAAAACAGAGGCAGATGATTACTGGCTATATACCATGAGGATACGCAAGAGAAACTTTCAGAAGTAAAATCACTACTAAAAAGACTAAATGTGAATTGAAAGCTAAATGTTTGGCTTGCAGGCTAGTTCTCCAGGAAATGAGGTGCAACTCAACCTTGAAAAAATCCTTTTTTTTTTTTTTTTTTTTTTAGAATGGACTTAGTGCCTTGCAGGCAGAACTTGGAGGAATCCTTGAAACTTGGCTTTCCTTAGCAATGTGACTAACAAAGGTGCTAACCTTTGAGGTGTTTTTTATCTCCAAGGCAGCTAGTGCTTGTAGCAGTGTATAGAATGACTTAAGTGATATCACTTTTATTAATATTTTGTGAGCTGCAGAAATTAGGTTTAAAGAGTTGCCCTTTCGGGTGATTTTGCTCTGGACATAACTGGAATTCTAGAGTGATATACTGCATTGCCAGACTGAGCAAAAATACTGCACAGGGTGTGTTGCAAATGATTACAGTTTTTAGGGCAGGCAGCCAGAAGTAGTTCTCTTGTCCTTGTGTCTCCTCTTACTCCTTTTCAATAGACTTAGGGGGAAAACAACCTGGCTGTGCTGACTTAAGACTGAAATTTTAATTGTTAACATGGGATGTGATTTCAATGTGTACCACAAGTTGTTCTAGTTGCAAATAAAACAAGGTTAAATTGCTCAAAAGGTTGAAGTGTAGTTATGCAAAGCACAGTTCCCTGGAGATTAGCAGAAGTTATTTTCTTCCAGAATCAACAGGAAGATCAAGCTTGAGGTCTTAAATTCCCTTGTAAAATTGAACAAGGGTCTCCTCATTGAAAGATCTAAAAACCAGACTTTGTACTCATCCACCAAGTGGAACAGAAAGACTTTGAGTACTGCTAAAGATCTAGGCTAGCCCTGTCCCAGACTCTGAGCTGTTACTGGTCAGAGATAACCGTTACTGTATCATTAGGAGGCTGTGAGCTGTAGGTCTTGAAGTGCTAGTAACCTGTCTAGTGGTTTGACTACCCAAGTGACAGTTCATTTCACTCTGTTGCAAGACCAAGTGCTGATGAACTGTCTTTGTTGTCAGTCTAGAGCGACAAAATGCTTCATTCCTTGTACAAATGTACTGTCACTGAAACTGTGTTGGTATTAATTCCTGTCTAGATTACATCAAGATGTCTTCAGGAAAGGCTTTCATTGGAAAACCAGCCCCTGACTTTACTGCCACGGCTGTAATGCCAGATGGACAGTTCAAAGACATCAAACTTTCTGACTATAAAGGTAAGTTTGTACTTCTCTAATTATGCAGATAGTCTGGCCATAGGCAGGAGTGGAGGGTATCGAAAGATACATCTTGATTTGGTTTTGAAGTAGTAGTGATCACTTGGCAGTGGACTGAAGTAAGGAACTTGTGCAGTGTTTCTCAGCGGTGGCTGGAGTATGCTTGGGAAGCTGTCAGGAGCATGAATGAATGTCCCATCTATGATAACTGTTGCTAATTAGCATAAAGCTCTTCTAAACTGTAATCTTGCATCAGCGTTGTTGCCTTGTGCATCACACTTAACATCTCCAAAGTAATTGAAACAGCAAAATCTTCTCTTCCATCTTCAGCAATGGAAGGTAAAGTCTTTCCCCATACCAGTGAAGTCCCTTGCTCTAGAGCACTGGCAGCATGTTTGCTTTGCCAAAAAAGCTTACTAAAATCAAAAGGAAAGCCTGAGGTATTCAAGTACTAATGTTGATGGCTGTAGACGCGTTTCTAATGATGCTGCAGGCTGCATGAGGGCTGAGAGTAGGCAAAGACTAGTCACCTACTCAGTTAAAATGTCTCCTTGGCCTGTAGCCTTTCAGACCCGTGGCATTTCTCTGTTAGTAGCCAGCTGTAGGGTCTTCTACTGTAGTAGAGCCAGAGCTATACTCTGGGCAGACCTATGGGAGTAGACCTGGGAGACAAACATTCCCTGTCACATTTGACAGTCTGGTTTTAGAGGCTTCAATTGGGTGGGTGTAGAGCAGCCTTGAAGAATATTATTTGGCTTTGTTGTAAGTCCTCTAGGTACTTCATGGGCTTGCCACCTATATAACAAGTCTTAAAATAATGGCATTTATAGTTGGCCATTCTTTGAAGGTGGCTTTGTATCTTAGGCTCTTCTCTACCGGTATTTGAATGATTGATATTGATGTGATAATTCTTATAAACCTAAGAGATTAAATGGTCTTATTGCTTTCCTAGGAAAATACGTTGTGTTCTTCTTCTACCCCCTGGACTTCACTTTTGTCTGTCCAACTGAAATTATTGCATACAGTGACAGAGCTGATGAATTCAAGAAAATCAACTGTGAAGTAATTGGAGCTTCTGTTGACTCTCACTTTTGTCACCTTGCCTGGTAAGAATTAGCCTTTTAACCTAATGGAATGTTCTGCCTGGCCTCAGTTCTTGCAGGAACTGAATTCTGAGTGTATTCAGCCCCGCTTGCTGAAGTATCAAAGGCACTTTGGGAAGTATTGGTAATGCCAGGTACTTCTGAACAGAACTGAGCATACTGGTTAGCTCTTTTGTTGCCTCATGGCAGGCTGAGGATGATACTGCAGAAAGGATCAGTATCTGTTGTACCTTTATGCTTCATTCTGAACTGCTGATGTTTTTAATATTTGGACTTCCTTCTTTTAGGATCAACACTCCTAAGAAACAAGGGGGTTTGGGTACTATGAAAATCCCCCTGGTTTCTGACACGAAACGTGCCATTGCCAAAGAATATGGAGTACTGAAGGAGGATGAAGGTATTGCATACAGGTAATATGCCAGAAGGTAAACCGTGTTGATAGTCTTTTATGTTGCAATACATGTCAGATGAACACAGAGAGCTTGTGTATACTTGAACACCTGCAGCAAGCTGAAGCCATAAGCTGGTTTAGATGTAAACTCCTTCAAGCTGTCAAGCACCTCCTACAAGGGGAGATGCTACTTGGTTCTCTGGAGGCCTTAGGCTCTCGGTGGTTTTGGTAAGTTAGGTAAGTGCTGTGTCCCTTTGATTACCTGCTGCACAGTGCAGGATCCCATGCAGGTGAGCTTGAATATTGGTAAAATGCAAGACCTACATAATGATGAAAGTGGTTACAGGTATTTAGTCTAGTGTTTAAAGTACAGATGAATTAAAACCCAAGCCTTATCTTGTAGTCAGCTGTTCAATAAAAGTTGCTGAAGGAGCTGAACTTCTGACTCTTAACCTGACTTCGGAGAAATTATAAGCCACTGCTGGTTGGGTTGTTGAGAACAGTGTGTAGGGTTTTTTTGAATGTAAGGCTGCCTCTCTGAATTCACTTTCTCCTTGGGTTTCTCTTCCATTTTGTTTTCTTTTCTACTAGTATTGTCCTTAAATAGGAAGCATTTCTTTTCCTGCATCAGT